GAGCATGCGACCGCACGTGCAGGGCCTATGGTCGCACGTGCAGGGCTCACAGCCGTACGTGTGAAAAACAAGGGAGATAGATTGGAGCTTACTGCAATAAAAGCACCTGCGGGCCGCACGTACGGCACATGGGGAAAATTTCTATCACTTTTTTTGGCTTTGCTTGACCCTCTAAAATTATTTATATGTACATTTGATCCTTCTGAAGTGCTTACAATTTCACACAGATTAACGAATCGAACATTTAGTAGAAAGAGAAAGCTAAAGGGAAGTGACTTACTTGTGAGTTGTATGCTATGTGTAGGTCACGTATAGGAAGGGACTGTTGCTCATCCACATCACTGTGAGTAATAGTAGTATAACGTTATGCTTTATTCACGTATTGTACTCATATGTTTTATTCAATTCCTACTCTACTTTGCTAGTGAATGGCATATGTTATATGAGTTATGTTTGATAGAATGACTGGAATGATTGGACAATAGCATATGAGATATGGACCCGATGTCGTTTTGTTTTTGTTGTAAATGATAGGCCTGAGGCCGTTCTGATATGGACTATTTATGACTCATGGCCTTAAGGCCAAAGGAGATGGAGACATGCCGATGTTCCATCTACCCTATTCGTTACAAACAGTTGTTGATATGTTGGGCCTAAGGCCATTCTGTATAATGTTCGGCCCGAGGCCGTTTTACTATGAATTCATGACTGAGACAAGCAAATAACCTATGAAATTATATGCTACGTATCTTATGCCTATTCACATATCTCCTTATATTGCTATTATTCACTGAGCCTTGCTCACTCTGTATTTATGTATGTTTATGTAGGTGATGGACCCGGGGGCCAGCCCTAGTCCAGTTCCGGTAGCCTTTTGTTGACCCTATTGTGTAAAGCTGAGCAAAGTAAAGTCTTTTGCCTTTTTGCGGAGTTCCCTCTTATAGCACATGGGTCATTGGTGATCTTGTCAAACATGTTGTTAATATGTGTAACTTTAAATTTTTCGACGTTTTGATTATACCCCATGAAAGGGGCTTGTATATATTTGTATATACATATGTGGGCCATGTATGTATTATGATATGTGATGAAATGTTTTGAGATCCTGGCATTTAGATATTGCTCAATGGGCGTTTTAGTTTGTTATTGTTTACTTTCGCTAGGCCCCAATATGATACAGAATATATGTTGCTTTTGGGTTCGAGGCCTAAGTTCGGGCCGGTCATGTCCTAACTTTTAGGGGCTAGTTTGGATTGTGACACAAACAAGGCCTAAATAATCCAAAAATACTGTAATAAAATGTGTATTTATTATTATTTAAATAATGAATGATCTCTCTTCAATTCTCTTCTAGCTTAATCGACATATACATGATTTATGCAAGTGGTTGCATATATTCATTCAAATTAGTTCCAACTCAAAAGAATAATGCCATAAAAATAGAAAATTTATACATAACAAAATTAATTAAATGAAAGAAATCATGTGATTGAAGCGATCTATCACGTGACTTCAATATTTACTCAAGAAATAGCTTCTACATACATAAGTAGGGGCTAAGTTTCTTTCGCATGCTCGTTCTTACTACCCTTTACATAGTAGGCCAAAAGTCACTCAAAACAAATTTGTAATGAGAAAAGGATACTCAAATAAATTTTAATGAACAAAATTACTTAATTACATTTTTTTTGAGAGTTTATGGACATTATTTTTGCATGTGCTATAATTATAGACAATTTTACCCTTTCATATGTTTATTTATTTTTTTATTTTTTTAAGAGCCAAAACATGGTGTGTTTTCTTTTTAGAGAGAGAGAGAGAGAGAGAGGATTTGTTACTCGGACTTAGTTATCAACCCTCAACATTGCCTTTGTCGATCTGGTCTACGTGTCCCTCACTACCATCACTGGTCTTGAGTTGATAAGCAAGAAGCACATAGAGATAGCTCAAAGTTCAAATGGCGTTAACAATGTTGAGAGCTTAATCAACATTGTTTCATCACAATGTTGTGATTAGTCCTTCACTTTGGCTCTTTTCTATTTCAATATTCTTTTGATTTGCTCTATATGATAGGATTACATTAATGTGTTCGTGTAGAGGATAGGCGAAAATGGGAGAAAGAGAGCGTGGAGGGTGGAAACCGGTAGTCCGTAGGAAAGGGCTAGGCAGAAATTTTGATGAAGATAGAAAGGATGGTTTATTCACGATATTTATGGATAATATCCCAGAGGTTATGAAGTCGAAAATGTTGTTTGGAGTGTTTTCAAGATTCAGTTTTGTTAGATACAATTGTTTTGTAGTTGCTAAGATAGCAGTACAAAAAGCTGATGGGTTATAGCGTGAGGATAAGGAGCTAAAGGTCAAAGGAAGAGAGTATGAGAAATGGGTAAAAAGAAGCAAAAAAGGGAATATAGTTAGTATTCAATCAGGAGGAAAGTACCAGTAGCATCAGAGGGTGAGTATGATTGGAAACCAGGGCATTCAGAAGGAAGGGATACAACAAAAGCAAGAGCATGGAGGAATGAAGTCGTACGCAGAGGCTGTTAGAAAAAGAAGTAATCATGGAATTGAGAATGTAATCATTAAGGCAAGAGAAGCGGGTAATGGATGGCTATATGAAAGTTTGGTGGTCGGACTTCATAACTTCTTCTCTTTTGTGACTTCTAAGGAGGAATGTCTAAAAAGAGGTTTGAAAGAGGTAATAGTTAAAGGAGAATGGATGCTGGCAATTTTGACATTTAAGTCTGTTCAGGAGATGAAAAATAGTATTCAGAGTATAAATGGATGGATATTCGACTGGAGCAGTTCTATAGAGGAGTGGAAAGCATGCGTTATAATTGAACATGAAAGGTGCATATGGGTAAATTGTTATGGTGTGCCCGTTAATCTTTGTAGTGTGGATACATTTAGAAGTATAGGTTCAGTATAGGAAGAAGTGGTGCAGTTTGATGAAGATACTATTAACAATGTATCATTTAAATGTGGTAAAGTTAGAATTATTACAAAGAACATGGAATACATTAACATGGTTGTGAAGTGGAATTGCAAAGGTGTAATCCATAAGGTGAGGGTATGTGAAAATCTTGATGCTTCAATGGTTATGGATTGGAATCCAAGTGAATGTACGAATAGGTCACTGGAAAAGGAAACTTCTGTAAGAAAGGAAAAAGAAGATCGTTGCTAGGAGAATTAAGGTGGCCGGAAAGGGATATTGAGAGGTGAAAAGAAATGATGACGTGGAAGAGGATATGGAAAATAGTGAGGAGGTGGCCGAACAAAATGAAGCCATGTTGCAGCACCAAAGCATTAATGAGAATGGTAATGAATGTTGGGTGTCTGAAATAAGGGTGGTTGATACAAATAGGGTTGTTGAGAAACCAAATGGTGGAGAGAGTGAGAGGATGAAAGATAACATGCTTTTGAGGGAATCAAGGAGAAATGAGACTTGTGGTGGAGTAACCGTTGATGATCAGATTGTTACCCTTGTGTTTGTAAAAAGTATTAACAACAATGTTAGGTATCATGAAAAGTCTTTCATGAAAATAGTCATGAAAGATTTGTGACCTTTGGATTACACTTACAATAAAGTACTACACACTAATCAAGGTAATCTAAGGGTCACAAATTTTTTATGATCATTTTCATGAAAAAATTTTCATGATCCCTAACATTTTTCAAGTATTAATGGGTCTGAGGAGAGTTGGCCCAGTATTAATATTGAGGTAGCCTTAGTGGGGAGCAAGGATCCTCTAGAGTGATTTTTCCCTAAAGTTTCCTAAAGTGCTACAGTGTATGGTTGAGATTTACTGGCAAGTCACATCAATTTTTCTGATGTGACTTGCCAGTAAATCTCAACCACACAATATAGCACTCTAGGAAACTTTAGGAAAATTTCACTCTAGAGGATCCTTGGTGCTTAGTGGGAGCCCAAAGTGGGGAATCTGTTACTGGACCTAGGAATAGAGACAGTGCCCAAGTCCAGATGGGCCGGTCTTAGGCCTCGTTTGGGGACTTACCCTTTTAGTTAAAAAGTCAAAAAGTTACTCTTTTAGTCAAAAAGCCAACAACTCATACCAAAAAGTCAAAGATTCTTTTTTCTCTCTGCTTTTTGCACATCTTTTCGTAATTAGCCAAAAAGTCATCCCAAACATATAAGTTTTTTTTACCTACTTTTTTAGCCAAATAGTCAAAAAATTACTAAATTAGCCTGTTCCCACTTTAATAAGATAACAAGCCCAGGTTGTTGAGATAACATGCTTTTGAGGGAATCAAGGAGAAATGAGACGTGTGGTGGAGTAACTGTTGATGATCAGATTGTTACCCTTGTGTTTGTAAAAAGTATTAATGGGTCTGAGGAGAGTTGGCCCAGTATTAATATTGAGGTAGCCTTAGTGGGAGCCCAAAGTGGGGAATCTGTTACTGGACCTAGGAATAGAGACAGTGCCCAAGTCCAGATGGGCCGGTCTTAGTCTCAGACCACTTTAATAAGATAACAAGCCCAGGTTGTTGAGTTTGGCCACTACCCAGCTAGTGGTGCTCATTCTCGGTTTTGAGATAAACAAGATGGAAGGTATGGGGAGAGGAATGAAGGAAACAGAGGAAGGAGGAGAGGGATCTAGAGAAATTGAGTATCATTTTCTAGCGGTTTTCAAAGGGAGGCGTTACTTAGGGCCGTAGTTGCAGTTGTGTCACTTTTATTGACAAAGAATAGTTAAACTAGTAGGAAGAGGAAGATGGCTCTTGAGGAAGCACACACTACTTTACAGATTGGAAAAAAATTGAGGATGGGCTGCGAAGGGATGATGAAAGAGGTGATAAATAAACTAGTAGAGTTATGGTGTGTTTGGTCGGGGGATTTGGGAAGGGATTTGGAAAGGGAAAGGGAAAAGGTGTGTGAAACTATGTGAAATATATACATATTTTATTCACATTTCACCTACCTTTTCCATTTCCCTTTCCAAATCCCTCCCTAAATCCCCCAACCAAACACATCATTAGAGAATCAAGATGCTGAGAGATATGCTAAGACTAAAAAATGGAGGAGAAAGGTCTGAATTAGCTGGCCGAAGAATTAGGGGTAGTATGGGTGCTAAGATTAGTATCATGAAGATTGTGTCCTAGAATGTTAGAGGGTTGGAAAGGAAAGCGATGATGAGTAGGGTCAGAAATGTAATTAAGGAAAGAAGAGTGGATGTTGTGCTTATTCAAGAAACTAAAAAAAGCAATATAGATGAGCACTTTGTTTGGTCTATTTGGCCATGAGAAAGGATGGAGTTTATAGCTGTAAATGTTGATAGGAGTGCTAGGGGTCTGTTGAGCATCTGGAATCCTGACATTTTTACAATGTCAGAGTGCTGTGGAAATAGGAATTTTTTGGCTCTTTTAGGCACTGCTGTTCGATCCTTTGGTTGTATGTTACTTAATATCTATGCCCTGAATGATGTGGTGAAGAGAGCAAGGTTATGGGAGATCACCCTTAGGATTAGAATGCATTTTGAAAGCCTTTGGTGTATGGGAGGGGATTATAATGAAGTTAGATGTATAGCAGAGAGAAAGGGGTGTTCCAGGAGAGATAAAAGGATGTAAGACTTTAATAACTTTGTTGAACAATTAGAAATTGTGGATTTACCAATGTTAGGTAGAAACTTTACATGGTGCAATTCATTAGATGGGGAAACGTGGAGTTAAATAGACAGGTTTTTGTTAGATCTTGTTTGGCTGGAAAAATTTAGGTTCAAGTTATAGGGCTTGCCTAGAAATGTGTCGGATCATTTCCATTTGTTGTTAATGGAGAGAAATTGGGGCCCTAAACCATTTAGATTTATTAATGCCTGGACACTGCATCCAAATTTTAGATCAGTTGCACAAAAGGCTTGGTCTGGATCATAGGTGCAAGGGTGGGCTAGGTACAGACTTAAGATGAAACTGTGTGGTCTTAAAGCTAGGTTGAAAAGATGGAATATTAAAGAGTTTGGAATTGTGGAGGATTAGCTAAAAAAAGTAGAGGACAAGCTACATGTATTGGATTTGTTGGCAGAATCAAGAGTAATGGAAACTCATGAAATAGCATCCAGGAGGGAGGAAAGAAGTTTGGTATGGAAGTTGTGGAGAAAAATGGAGTGGATTTGGTTCTAGAAGTCCAGATTAAACTGGTCTCAATGTGGAGACAAAAATACTAGGTATTTTCATATTATGGCCAACAAAACACAAAGACGGAATTTAGTTAGTGTTGAGGATCATGGGTTGGTAAGACAAGAAGTGTTAAGGCATTTTTCAAAGGTATTCTATGAGAAGGGGAAATCTAGACCAAAATTGTTAGGAAATTTTGTTTCAGTCAGTAGATCAAAAGAGGTGGAGATATTGGAAGTTGAGTTTACAATGGATGAGATATGGGAGGCTATGAAAGATTGTGATGGAAATAAAGCGCCAGGCCCAGACGGATTCAATATGACTTGTATTCAGAAATGTTGGAAGTTTATGAATAATGATGTGTTTCAGTTTAATTCTCATACCGAAGAAGATGTGTCCTGAAGGGTTGCCGGATTACAGGCTTATATGTTTGGTTGGAGTGGTATATAAAATTTTGACCAAGGTTCTATAAAAAAGATTGCAAAAAGTTCTACATGATGTAATTAGCGAAGTGCAAACAGCCTTTTTGGGAGGTAGGAATATATTTGATGAAGTAATGATTGCTAATGAGGTGGTGGATTGGTAGAAGAAGTAAAAAAGGAAGGGAATCATTCTCAAACTAGACTTCGAAAAGGCATATGACTCAATTAATTGGGAACATTGTTCTCTATGATGCATAATCTGGGGTTAGGAGAGAAATGGGTGGGATGGATAAAAACATGTGTCACCACAGCAAGAGTGTCTATTTTAGTTAAGGGGTCGCCAACGAAGGAATTTAGTCCACAAAAGGGAGTAAGGCAAGGAGATCTGTTATCTCATTTTCTGTTTAACATTGCAGCTAAGGGACTAAATGTGTTAATGAAAAGAGAAAAAGAGTTGGGCCTATTAAAGGGAGCATCTGTTGGGACATCAGGTTTGAGATTATCACACTTTCAGTTTGCCGATGATACGATACTTTTTTGAGAAGCAGAGTGGGCTGGAATGGTGAATGTGAAAAGAATTCTGAGATGTTTTAAGGTAATGTCAGGGTTAAAGATAAATTATCATAAAAGTGTGGTGTGTGGAGTAGGGATTAGTGAGGAAGAGTCACAAACTTTTGGTTAAGAGTTGTTTTTCTTATGTCAGAAATTACCTCTAAAGTACCTGGGCTTACCACTTGGTGTAAATCCAAGAAGGAAGAAGACTTGGCAGCTTGTTGTGGATAAGGTTAGATCCAAGTTAGCACTTTGGAAAATGAAGCTGTTGTCATTTGTTGGTAGGCTAACTTTGATCAAGTCTGTCCTTGATAGCTTACTTGGGTACTACATCTCTATTTTACTTGCCTAAAGGAGTAGCAAGGGAAATTGACAAGCTTAAGGCTTCTTGTGGGGTAGTTCAGATTTAAAAAGAAAGATTCACTTGGTGAACTAGAATGAAGTAACAAGGAAAAAAGAGCAAGGGGGGTTATGAATAAGAAGGATCAGTGATATGAATGAGTTCATGCTAGTTAAGTGGTGGTGGAGATATGGGGTGGAAGATAAATCATTATGGAAGAAAATTATTACTAGTAAGTATGAGGCCGAAGGGGGGAGGTGGTTACCAATGAAGGAAGGGATTGGTAATGAATACATTATGTGGAGTGATATTTTAAATCTGACAAGATCTAATACTGGCTTGTTTGAGTTTTTTGTATCGAAGTTTCAAATTGAGGTTGGAAATGGAATCAGGGTTGCATTCTGACATGACAAATGGCTATTAAATGTACAGCTAAAAAAAGGAGTTTCCTAGGTTGTTTATGCTCTCAGTGGAAAATGAAGGCATATTGAGTACTTTCATACAAAGGAGGGACAGTTCTGGGGATTGGAAGCTCTTGTTCAAAAGATCACTACTTGCTTGAGAGGAAGAGGAGGTCATAAGGTTGCAAGAATTAACAAGAGATGCTTCTAGCCTTAATTTGGAGCAGAAGGATTTAGTAAGATGGGCTGTATCTTCCTCAGGTTTGTTCATATTGGCATCTCTAAAAGACTAGTTTGAGGCCAACAAAGGTCTTTCATTACAAGTGCCTAGGATGCTTTGGAATAATGTGGCATCTCCAAAAGCACAGTTTTTGAGCTGGTTGGTGTGGAGAGGGAGGGTCAAAACCACTGATATGTTGGTAAAGTTTGGGGTGCTTAGTTCAACAATGGTAAATGAATGTCCCTTTTGCAAGAATCAGTGGATCATTTATTTTTGCTATGCCTCGATGTGTGGAAGGTCTGGTCAAAGTTGTTGCTTTGGTGGGGAATAAGCTGGGTTACCCTCGTTACTATGGAGAGTTTGCTGCTATGGTGGTTAGGAACAAAATTCAAAAAGCTGGTTTTGAAGATATGGAGACTTGTTCCAATTGTAATTTTGTTGTCAATCTGGAGGCTGAGAAATGAGTGTGTTTTCAAAGGTAGACATCACAAGATGGAAGAGTTGGGTGAGACAGTAAAGACGAGGATTAGGTTGTGGGTTAAGTACAATTTGTCTAATATACACTATTCAGTGCATGATATTGTGGAAAATTTGAATAAGATTAGGCTATGTTTATGAGGTGGTAGGAAGGTTGCATTTTATGGCTACTGCTATATCCAGTGTAGGCTCTGTTTAGGTAATTGAGGGAGGTATCAATTGGTGTTTTGGTTGGAGATTGGAAGTCTAGTTTGGGGCTTGGAAGTCTAGGTGTATAACCAAGTTGTTATTGCTGCTAGATGCTGCTAATGTTTACAGATATGTTACTGCTGTCAGTTGTTGAAAGTTGTTGTTGCCAGTTGCCACTGCTATTACAGAGCTACTGCCAGTTGCTGCTGCTACTACAGAGCTGTGTTGGGCTTTGAGTGTTTATTTGTAGCTTTGGGGATTATGTTACCTTGGTGATATCCTATTATTTCTACTGTTTTCTTTCTTTTTATTGGCTAGTTGATTGAACCCTCTCCAATCTTGGGTTAAATGCTGGTATATGATTGAGCTAACTCTTCGGTGCCAACCTAGCTAGGATGTTGACCTTAGTTATGATACTTGATGCACTTCCCTACTTTATTGATGTAAGTTCTTCTCTTGTATATAACTTATTCATTAATAAAGTTTCCCTTTTATTGATTAAAAAAAAAAAAAAAGTGTTCGTGCAGGGGTGATGTTTGTTGCTTGCTATTTGTTTTTTCTTTCTAGTTGCTTTTCTCTCCTTGTATCGATGCTCATTTTGATGTAACATTCCATTGTTTTATCAATACAAGATTTTTTTGCTAATAAAAAAAAAAGAGGGTTACACAAATAACAAAAGCTTAAAAGTTGTTGCATTATATTTTTACACCTACTAAACTAGTAACAAAGAAGCTCATTTTGGGAACACTTCCCAGCTTTTAATCCACTTCCTCTTTCACATAAAAAAGCAGTCAAAAAAAGTTAAAAGATCAGCTTTTAACTATCTTCCCAAAATACTCCAGAGCATTCAGTGATAGGCCATCTAAATTGTTTAGCATTCTAAACTCGTGTTTTAAGGTTGTGTGCATGCTTTTGATCTACATTCACTCCCTAGTCAGTAAAAAAATCCATTTTCTTTTCTTTCTTTTTTGTTTTTATTTGTTTTTCTTTTTCACTATTTCTGATTATTTTGGGAGGTATCCTCAGTAATTGTATTAGATGAATAAGATAATCAAAACCCTTACATAATGAGTTGTATAGTATGGATTGAATTCGAAGAGTGATACGTATAAATATGTATGTATGTATGTGTAGGTGTGTGGCGTTAAAAGTTGGGTTTTATAATGTTCTTAAAAAGACAGGGAAAATTACCAAAAAAAAAAAAAAGAAAAAGAAAAACCCTCAGGGTTTGACCCATTGTAACAAAATAAATTCTGAATTTTTAATTTTGTCAATTTAAATTCTAATATTTTGATATATTTTCAATTTAAACCATTTGTCTATATTTGTTAAATAAAGTTGATTAAAAAGAATGGTGTTTTAATTATAAAACTCAATGAAAAATGATATTTTAGACATTTTATATAAATTTATATTAAGTTTAATGACTAAAATATATTATTATATTGATTTTTCTGGACAAAAATAGATGAATGTTTAGATTGAAAAGAAATCAAAGGATTGAAGTTTAAATTGACTAAATTAAAAGTTTAGAATTTATTTTGTTATAATGGTCAAACTATGGATATTTTTATATTATAATTTCTCCAAAAAAATAATAATGGGGATTGTATTTTGGGTGACTTGAATTTTACATTTTTATCTCTCACATTGAAAGTTTGCTTTTTGAAAGATAGTGAAACTGTATTGTTTTTTTTTTTTTTTTTGGTATTTATATGGGGCTAAAGCCCAGAACTACACAACAACACGAAGGATTCCAAATCCATGCCAATCTCTATCTAAGAAAGAAACAATGGAATCAGGGGCTGTTGAAGGAGTTGCCTTTGGAGAGTTAGGCTTTGTGCTTCCTTAGCTAAGCAATCTGGAGAAGGGCTCGCTCTGCGCCAAATCCCTTGAAGATGACACTGCCAATCTTGATCAAGCAAAAAGGACAGGTAGGGGAATGAAATTGTAGTATCCTAAGACATATAAATTAGGCACTCTATTTGTATTCCTCAATTTAGAATTTTTTAGCCTATAAAATTTGAAATTTAGGTACTCTATTTTTTACTGTTGTCCACTAATTTTGCATTTTTTTGCCTTGATTTGAAATTTGTTTATGAAAATACAGTCGAATTTCACTATCCAAAGGTAGCAAAATTTCACTTTCTGAAAATATAAGCATAGTATAATTTTTTCAATTTTTACTTTCTTCAACGCTTCATATTTAACGTGAATCTTGTATGGTAAATCTCGACTAGAGGATTCAATTTTTTATTCTTTCAAAATAAACATCTAAATTAAAAGCTATGCATTTTGAAGTTTGAAAACCAAATATAATAAATAAGGATATTTTGATAATTATGGTTTCTGTCCTGCATGCGTTTCCTTTACACAAAAAAACTTATGACCATGTCCTTATTACATGAAAATCTTACTATTAAGACTTATCACCAAAAATCCCAAATTGTGACACATTTTTGTAATAAGTACAAGTGAAAATACATGAGCACTCTAGCTTTTACTCATATGATTCTTACTTTCCTTCAGCGGACCTCATATGCTATCAGTCATCAAGGACAGTGATGTGCGACTCAAATTTTTTTTTTTTTTTTTTTTTTTTTTTTTTTTTTTTTGGAGCAGCAAACAAAGGAAAAAATTTATTCAGATAGAAAGATTACACAAAGGTTTGGTAAAAATTGCATCAATGTCAAACTAAGCATCCTAACTAGGTTGGCACCCAAAGCTTAACAAATCATATGCAATCCCAAACCCCCAATGAAGTTAGAGAGATTCCAACTCTCCTAGATTTTGACTCTCCAGAAAGAACATTGCATAACACTTTACACCCTTTCACCAATACACTTCCTAATCTGATGAATATTGAACAGGAAATCATTAGCAGAGTAATGGAAGTCTTTGAATGAAGCTTTTAACCAAATAGCTACTTTGATGATAATTGATTCCTGCAACTCTCCCATCTTTGGTTGAACACCATTGAACAAGCAATCATTTCTATACTTCCATATGGACCAAAGAGTAACAAGAGGAATAGCCTTCTAGATTCTCCTCTCAGTTTTGTTAAACCAAATGCCATCCCACCATTGCAACAAGCATTCGAATGATCTAGGCACAACCCAATGAATACCCCACCACTGCAGTAGACCAATCCACACCCTCCAGACTATGGGGCACCAAATAAGCTGATGCTTTACTGACCCTTGCTCATTTTTGCAGAACACACATTCAGAAGATACACTCCCATCCAGTATCCATTACAAGAAATATGACTTTTTGCGTCTACTTTTTTGCGACTGATTATTTAACCGTCGCAAAAAACCATTTTTGAACATCAAAATTTTATTTTACCATCTCATTTTCCTGACCCAATCGTGTTCTTAAAAAAATAAAAAAAAATAAAAATCAGTAAAACTTGACTCTCTCTTTCTCTCCCTCTCAATCCCTATTTTTTTTTTCTTATTTCCCAAATCTGAGCTCTCTCTTTCTCTCCCTCTCAAAATCTGTCTCTCGCTCGAATCTCACTGCCTCTCTCGCTCGAATTTGTCGCTCGAATCTCTCGCTCGAATCTGTCGATCGATTCAACTTTCTCAAGTCCACAACTGCTGAAGATTTCATAATCGATAAGCCTAAGCACATCTTCATCGATTCAACTTTCTTTGTAATGATCCGAGAAATCAAGTGTGCTCTGAATTGCTCTCTCTCTCTCTTATCTCAGTTTCTCTGTGAGATTAGAGAAATCTCTTCGAAGCATTCACTTCTTGTTCATCTTCACGCCTTTTTCGTTAACTAGTTTCTTATCCACTAATCTCACTGCAATCTTCTAGATCGATCAGGTTGTTGTACAGAAAGTGAAGGAATCGGAGATAACCGAGCAGGACTCGCTTCTACTGGTATAGTTCAGCTTTTGATTTTCATTTACAGATGATCATATCAACCTATATATAAATTTCACTATCTACATATCTTCATTTTTGTGGATTGAATTCTGGAATTATAATTTGAACTTACGGTTTTCTCATATTCAGAATTAGATCATTGCTTTGAATAAATCATAGTACGCTGAATCTGGATTTTGTTTTGTTCAGTAATTTATTAGTGAATTTTACTATAACTCAAATCCAAATTATGATCCGGCGAGTTTGAATCTGAAATGATTTTTTTCTACATTTAGAATTAATTTCTCTAGTGTTGCAACCTAGATATGAATTTCATTGTCTGCTTGTCTTCATTGTTTGTGGATCAAATATTGGAATTCTAATTTGAATTTATGGTTTTCTCACATTCAGAATCAGATCATTGCCTCAACATTGTTTAGTAGTTTTTTGTTGTTGAAAATTTTGTGATCTACTTGTAGTGGCTGGTATTTTGTAAGTAGAGTAAATTTTTATACATGGAATTTATTTCTTTTCTTCCATAACGTCCCTCTGCATTGGTGTAACATGTGGCCTAATCATTTAGTAATGTAGATCAATTGCCAGATGGGCTCATAGAGATATCAAACGTGTTAAAGAAATAGTTTAATTTCTACTTCATGTTTTTCTTGACTCTTTCTCCAACCTTACTTTTGCCTGTTTTCTTTTGTTATTTAATTGACGCCAATAGTCAGAGGTCAGATCTGTCCCCATCTATGTTTTTTTTTTTTTTTTACTAAAAAAAATTGATATGATTTAAACTCTTAGTTAATTCAAGAGAAAAAGAGGAGAAAAAATCCATTCATTTTTTACAGAGTCGAGTTCCACAATAGTGGCCGAGAAATGAGCAAGGTAACTTAGTTGGCTAAATTGTGGGATTTCAATAGAAATCTAAATCTCAAAATCTCAATTCAAATAAAAAATATTAATAATAACAGTTGCGTACTTGAAATTATTTAAGGGAGCTAGGTCTACAATAGTGGCCGAGAAATGAGGGTTAGGTTTTCTACTGAATGAGTCTGAGTTGTTGCATTCACATTTAGGCCAGATCATTAAGATCGTTGATGTACGATCGTGGTCAAAACAGTCGATAGGGGTTTGGTAGAGGTGGTTTCTAGGTGCATCCATTTGTGGTAGAGAGGGCAATGGAAGGAGATGAATGATACTATTGTTGTTGGTTTGTAGACAATGGAATTTTTTTCTATATAATGAGGATGTTTGGTTGTGGGAAAGTATACTCTTGTTTTGATTTTGAAGAATTTTTAAACTAATATTGACTGAAATATTATATTAAAATATAAGTGGTTACTTTGCAATAAAGACTGGAAATACATTTATAGAGCAGCTCCTACCCTCTATTTATTCATGATGTGTAATTTTATAAATTTTTATAAAATCTTCTATAAATCACTCAATTACAATAAACTAAAAAATCGATAAAACCAAATCTTGTTGTATGGTCAACCTCAATTCCTCAATCAACAAAATAGAAGATTCAGTTCAGTGTTAAATTTTCTCAACCATGTTCGATTAGAGCCACAATATTTTGGAGTCCTCTCTCATTCAACAAATCATGAAAATTTTACTATACAAATTGTCCATGCTTTGAGGTCTTCTACATTGATGGTTTGGCCCAATACCATGAATGGTCATTGTTTCCAAGATAAAAACACTATAATAGGACCAGCAACTCTACCAGGGTTCAGGTTGCCTTTACTTTATGGGGTTCATAGGAACCAATGTCCCCAATTAACACCTTAAAAGTTGAGGCATCAGATTAATACCATGAATGGTCATTTTTTTTTCTTCTCTATTTTTAAACAATGTCAAGGTAACTTAGTTGGCTAAATTATTGAACTAAAAGTTTTCATAGGCCATTGGTTTTATTTGGTATACTTTTTGAACTATAATATGCACTTGTCATTATGATATTTTGCAAACTCATTCTTTTTATTGATGTGTACAAAAACAGTTAAAGAAATAAAAAGATGAACAAGAATTGGATTGATTTGCCAAATCGGATGTCAGTTGATTACGTGAATGGAATTGATAACTTCTTGAGATTTGCATACAATAATGGAGATGAATGTTCATCGATTAGTTGTCCGTGTCGATTTTGTAGTAATTGATATAATTTTTCATAAGAGGATGTAAGGGAGCATCTTATTTCCAATGGATTCGTAAAAAAGTACAAAAATTGGATTCATCATGGGCGAGGCAGCGGCCCATCCCAATCATTAGCAGCCCCTTCATTTATTGATGAGATCACGCAGCGTGTGACATAAGACGTTGAGTCTAGGGTTCACTACGACGATCAAAAACCTAACGGCACGTGTTTTGTTCTTAGAGTCACAGGGTGTGGCTGGGAGTATGAGCTTGAGAGAGGTGCAATACTTACAAATTGATGAATTTTACGTTTTATCAATTTGTATATATACATATGGAAATTATTAACACATTATACTAACATATTGTAGGTGTCAGATGCATCTAGTGGGCAACAAGCTTCAAAAGAAAATGAATAGGTATGCATTTCTCTGCTTTTAATGAATTTTTCAGCTTATTATGAATTAGGTTGCCTATTTCTCTGAATATCTCTTTGGAATACTTCTTTTTTCCCTTATATTTTTGCATGTATTTATGATATTTGCTATGTATGAAGTTCTTGAAGAATATCACTATATTTCTCCATGTATTATGTCGTATTAGGTTTGAAATTTATCCCTAGAGCATATCATATGGACCATGTATTATGTCGTATTAGATTTGTTGCTTCTGTGCTGCCCTCAAAACAACTAAACACATGAAACATATTTGCTGGATCACAGGAAAAATAGTTATATCTAAAGTTCAGGTGAAACTAACATGGATAAGGTTTTCAACAAGAATAACAAGTCAAGGGCCATAGATTCTAAAGCAGACCTCCAGGAACCCAGTTGCCACTCACAGTCCATCTCTGACACAGACAACACCCAAACTTGTCAGAGATAGAACCATTTTCATATGAATCACAGAGCTGAGATCAAATAACTAAAATAATTCATGGCATGGACAACAAAAGTTGTAACTATTCTGGACTCCATGAAGAGATAGGATAAGAAACTTCACCTTAGGTCTTAGATATTCATGAACCTGGAAAGTCACTATTGTAACTTGAATCCATATTTTTGTCCCACACCATAGCTAAGAAATCAGAAAGCAAAATCAAGTGAAGAAACAAAATATAGAAATGTTTTTGAGTAAGTTTGAAAATCAAACAAAAACTAAATTCCTAAAAACAAGTACATAGTTAACCATTACGGCTTATACAATTAAAACACCACTGAACACCAACATCATAAATAACAGCTGGTCAAATGAAAGGACAAAAAATAAAATAAAAATGTTTTATTTTTATTTTTTTAAAAACGACAAAAAAAGAAGAAATGACATGCTCAAACGACATGCCTTTATCAAGCAAGACAACATGAGTTACTCGAGCGAACTTTAGATAATATATTAGGAATTATAAGATTATGCCAAACACACAACAATTGCCCAGTATTATTTCCAAGAAACAATAGCCATGGAAGTTATGTAGGTTAAAAACACTCACACGTTATACTCTACTCGGAAAGACAAAAAAGGAAAAAAAAAAAGCAACAAATTTTTCCTGTGATAAACAAGTTGTGTTATATATGTGTTCATGTCGAAAAATGATAAATCCTAAAATGCCTTCGTAATGGGTGTTCACATTTGTTCTTCTTGAGACAGACAATGACTGCAGAAATTACATAGCTAGGAACATTATCTGTTTGGTAACGTTTACGTTTTCAGTTTATATTTACAAAATTTTTATAAACTGGTTTTTGTTTATTTTTTGTTTATTTTTAGAAAAACATAAACTACAAACACATTTGTTAATTGACAAAATGTTTAAAAAATTTTAAAAATATAAAAAAGAGTGAGAAATGGCAAGTGGTGGCAAGTGGCGGCGAAAAACGGTGGTGGAAAGTGGTGACGGTGGGTGGTGGGTAGCGGGTGGTGGTGGTGGGTGGGTGGGTGACGGTGGCGGGTGGTAGCGAGTGGGTAGTAGTGGGGGTGGTGGCAGTGGTGGCGACGGGTGGTAAGTGGTGATGGCAAGTGGGTGGCGGATGGCGGTGGTGGGCGGTGGGTCGTGGGTGGTGGGTGGGTGACGGTGGCTGGTGGTAGGTGGTGACGGCAGGTGGGTGGGGTGAGGCGGTGGCAGGTGGGTGGTAGGTGGTGATGGTGGGTGGGTGGGTGACGGTGGCGGGTGTGGGTGTAGCGAGTGGGTGGTGGTAGTGGGGGTGGTGGGTGGTGGTGCAGGTGGTAGGTGATGGTGGGTGTGGCGGGTGGTGGTGTAGTGGCAGGTGGCGGGTGATGGTGGGTGGTGTGTGGTGGTGGTGGCAAGTGGGTGGCGGGTGGGTGGTGGGTGATGGTGGTGGTGGTAGTGGGTAGTGGTGGCGGGTGAGTGGCAGATGGCTGGTGGTGGTGGGTGGCTGGTAGTAGCAAGTGGGTGGTGAGTGGTGGCGGCAAGTAGGTGGCGGGTGGTGGAGGCGGGCGGTGGATGGTAGTGGCGGCTGGATGGTAGGTGGGTGGTGGTGGTGGCGGTGATGGCGAGGGATGGGTGGTGGTGGCAAGTGGGTGGCAGGTGGGTGGTGGCTAGTGGATGGTGGTGGTAGGTGGGTGGTGTGTGGTGGTGGCAGGTGAGGGTGGGTGGTGGGTGGTGGTGGCGGAAGACGGTGGTGGAAAATGGTGGCTGGTGGTGGCTAGTGTTGGATGGTAAAAAAAAAAATTGAAAACTCAAAATGGAAACACATTTTTTGTGTTTTCATTTTTTAGCTAAATTTATAAACTGAGATCACTGATTTATAAATCAAAAATTTTATCAAACAAGTTTTTGTTTGAGTTTTTAAAATTTTTGTAAATATAAACAGAAAACTGAAAACGTAAGTGTTACCAAACGACACCAGAAACCATGTCTTCTTGAGCTAATCCACAGCAAACGAGTTAAATCAAGAGAAAATGCAGTGTTGCTGCTGACAGAACTAATATGCCTGGACATGTATTATGTTTTAACTTTTAGTTTGCTTTTTCTTTGTTGTGCATCAATTATCAGTAGCATGCGGTAGAGCATCCTTTGTCTATGTACTACATCATTCTGCATGAGTAAGATATGCTTATTTCAATAATTTCCATATTATGCGTGGTTTTGCAGTGTTATTGCTATGGATTGATTGTTCTAACCATAAATTGATGCCATTGTTTCTCATTTCAGGAGGAAAGACGTTAATTTTTTTTTAAGTGGCTTTCAGAATGAGGGAATACTGGATACAATGCATGTTTTACTCGTCTATCTCTGGAGCTCTCTGCCTGAGCAAAGACCCTTGGTTACTGTTCTCCTTTTACACTTAGATCTTCTGGTATGCTCCTCAAGTAAAAATTCTTTTGCTGATAGTGAATAGAAGTATTAATTAAACTATGATTCTGGTGTCTCCTGTTTGCCTGTACTGATTGCTGCAATATCTTGCCATTTGAAAATATTGACTTGCTGAATACCAGTTGAATTCATACTTTGTTTAATATGTTTATTATGCTACTCTACACATTGGCCTAAACCAATCAAACAATTTTTGAATTATGTTTATTATGACAGTAATGAACTGTTTCTGAATTATGTCCCAGATTAGATGTTGATGGCACTAGAAAATGACTTTTAGGAAGTAAGACAATCATTTTTAGGCATCCTTATAGTCATTCAATTAGTCATCAGTTAGTGCTGATAGAGACATGGGGTAGCATCTATGCTTAGTTCAAGTTAGACTTCCTCAATAGAGTGCTTAATTGAGGCATGTTGCTTTAAAAGGGAACATCTATGAAGCAACAACTACATTAATGCTTAATTAAATTGATGCCTTTTTTCAATCTATTTGCATTATACCCATAGGAGTGATTAAAATTGATAATTTTTATTTTGGCAGTATATAATTTTTATCATTAATGCCTGAAATTTTTGTTGCATAGGTGCAACGTGGTGATGTGGAACTTGAAAAGAAAATTGATGAGAAGATTAACCAGTTCATCAATAGAGTGGAGAAACACCTGAGCAAGAAAATTGATGAGAAGATTGGCCAGTTCTGGATTGTTTTTTTTTTTTATTAAAGAACTTTTCCCAAGTTTTTAGTTGTAATAACTTTCACATATGGCTCAAATTTTGAGACTCAAATGGAATGTTCAATTAAACTATAATGCTATACTGTTTGAATTCTTGTCATTGCTATTCCTAGAGTGCTTAACGCTAAACTTTTATTTATTTATTTATTTATTTTATTTATTTATTTTTATTATTATTATTTTTTTCGACGGTAACGAGATGGTCACCAAAAATCATGTTAGTGTTTTTCTTTGTTTTTTGCGACGGCAAAATAATGGTCGCCATAAGTAGTTTAGGCAGTCGCAAATAATTTGCAACTGTTGCTTTGCCGTCGTAAAAAGTATTTGCCACCCTTACATTATGGGCCGTCGCAAAAAGTCTTTTGCGACTGTTTTTTTATTATTTGCGACGGTTTATAGCGGTCGCAAAAATTTTTTTTTTTAGTAGTAATCCCAATCCATTGCAGAAACACATAGGTCTTTACCTTATGTTTCCAAGCAAGCCACCCAAAAAATTGCACTTTGGGTGGAAGATAATTCACTCAAACTAGTTTACTCATTAAACCCCACTCAGCAGCATCTACAACTATATGATTATAAAAGGGTTAAGACAAAAGATTGACCTGATTGGGCTGCTAACCAAACTGGTTTATCCACACCATTCGAATTAATTGATGGGGCTAATCTCAACACATCTCTGAGCCCAAGAAGTTCCTCATCCTTCCAAACAAACAAATGCCTTCTGAAGCTTAACTCTCAATTTTTTGAGTTTCCTTTCTTTTCAACAAATAACCTTAAGGAGCCCATTTTCTTAATAGATAGCCTGAACAATCTAGGGAACTCCTCTTTAAAACAGACATCACCACACTATTTATCATGCCAAAACTTCACTTTAATCCCATTACCCACTGAAATCTTGAAGTTACTTACATAGAAATGGAACAAATTGGCTCTATGCTCTGCTACAGCTAACATGTCACTCCACAGTTTTGAAATCCTATTACCTTGATTTAGAAAAAGAAACCATTCTCCCCCTTCAAGATTGTACTTGCTGCAGATCACCTTTTCCATAAAGATTCCCCTTCATTTGCAAATCTCCACCACTACTTAAACAAAAGGCAATCATGTACATCCGTTATTCTCCTAATTCCCAACCCTCCTTGCATTTTGCTCATAGTTACCTCTTTCCATTTCACCATATGTAATATCTTCTTCAAGTCTGTGCCTCTCCATAAAAATGTAGTTCGAATTCTGTCAATTTCCTTAGCAATTCCTTCTGGCATCTTAAAAAGTGATAGGTAATACACTGGCAAATTAGATAATACTGCCTTGATCAAAATCAACCTACTAGCAAAGGACAAAAATCGCCTCTTCCTTCCAGTAGGCTTAATCTTCAATTTATCAACAATTGGTTTCTAGATTTTCTTTCTACTTGGACTCACTCCCAAAGGAAATCCAAGATATTTCATTGGAAACCCTTGAGTTTTGTAATTCAGCAATGTTGCAAAATCCTTAAGCAAGGCATTAGATATTCCAACCCCACAAACCACACTTTTATGATAATTAATCTTGAGCCTTGATAAAATCTCAAACCATCTAAGAGTCCTTTTGAAATTTATCATTTCCTGCCAATTAGCTTCATATAACAGTAATGAATTATCAACAAATTGCAGATGAGACACTACAATTCTATTAGCACCAATTTCCACTCCTTTTATGGTTAGCACCAATTTCCACCCCTATTATGATTCCCATTTCCCTTGCTATACTCAGTTAAACACTCAATCCTTCAGCAGCCAAGTTAAATAAGAATGGTGATGAAGGATCCCCTTGTCTAAGTCCTTTTTGAGGGGAAAATTCTTTAGTTGGCGAGCCATTCACTAGAACTGAGACTTTAGCTGATGATACACACTCCTTCATCTATGAAAAATCCACCTTGATCCAAATACAAAGTTTGAGAGCATTGAAAAAAGAAATTCCTAGTTAATGGAATCATAAGCCTTTTCAAAATCAAGCTTAAATAGCAACCCTTTCTTCTTAGCTTTCTTCCATCTATCTATAATTTCATTTGCCATCAACACCCCATCCAAGATGTTTCTCTCCCCCATAAATGCAGATTGTGTTTCACTAATTACCTCAGGTAGCACTGTCTTAAGCTTACTTGCAAGAACCTTAGATAGGATCTTATACATAGACCCTATCAAACTTATTGGCCTGTATTTATTTAAACTCATTGCATTGTCCTTCTTTGGAATAAGAGTAATAAATGAGCAATTCAAACCATAAGGCAACCTTTCTCTATTGTAGAACTCTTTCATAGACATGGTCACTTCTTCTTTGAACACCTTCCAATTCTTTTGAAAACATGGTTGAAACCATCTAGACCAGGTGCTTTATTTCCATTATAGTCTCTCACTGCTGCCCATATCTCTTCCTCAGAAAAATCTGCTTCTAGCTTTTCAAAATTCTGACTCTGCCTTACATTCTTGAAATCACCTACTAACATGCTACTTCAATCTTCTGTAAAATGCTTTTTGAAATAAGCCCACACCTCATGCTTAACTTGATCAAGCTCATCAGCCACATCCCTCACTACTGTAATGGAATTCATTGCATTTTTTATTGAATTTGCAGCTAGCTGTGATATGGAAAAATCTAGTATTCCTATCCCTTTTTAGGTTCCAGTCCAATCTTGATTTTTGAAGCCATGCCCATTCAATCATACGACTAAGAGTCCACACCTCACTTCTTAGCTCTCTTTTGTGTTTCAATTATGCATCCTCCAATGGACTGTCTTTAGCTTTCAAGTCAAGCACATTCAATTCATCCTTAGCTTCTTTTTGTTTTGATGCCACATTACCATACACCTCTCTACTCCATTGTTTCAAAGCCATCTTTAAAGCTTGTAATTTCTTATGTAGAATAAAACCAACATCCCTTACTATCTGTGTCTCTCTCCACACCTCTCCACAAAAGCAACAAAA